ATGGTACATTTATATATTTAGTTTCATTTGTTTGTTTGTTTTTGTATTTGTAATATTTTACTTTTATTATTATTGAAATGAATTTAATTATATAAGTATTTTATCCTGGACTTTGGTTTAGTGCTTGGCTGTTATTGGCCTTTTTGACTGTTGTCAAGCACTTAAATAAATGAATTGAATTAAATTATTATTATTATTAGTAGTAGTAGTACTAGTACGGTTATTAAATCAAGGAAGGCGATGTGGTCGAGACATGTAGCATGCACGGGAGATGTGATTTCATAGAATCTTAGTCGAAAAGCTTCAAGGCAAGAGACAACTTGGAAGACGTGTAAATTAGCATCAAATACAATTTCTATGTCTTTATGGTATTTATATTTTTCCCAGTAAATTAACATAGCCATGAATACATATGTGGAATGGAGGTAGTATAACTCCACGCATTTGTAACATGACCAGCTTCACGATCTGGCCACTTTACTCCCGAGGAAACAGTCCCCGATAATCAGTGGACAGGAGGATGTTTGTGCCTCAGGGTCTGACCGGAAGTCGGTTGCCCAGAAGTAGTTAGTTACTGTTTTATTTGAGCTCAGGTATTAAAATTCACAAAACATCTTCAACTAACTCAAGAGAAGCACTGTGAAGTACATAAATAATACTATAATATTTTTCCGGCTCAAGGCAAGAATGTTTGTCCGCGACTTCCTATGTTGTGTTACCCTGGTCATTCGTCGAAAGAGCCCTGCCAAATGTCTAAAATTACTTTAGAAACCTCACATGTCTGAGGCGGCCAAGGTTCTTTAGTGACTGCACAGCCATGGAGTAAGTAAAAAGCCGGTCTTCTTGTGTACACGGTACGTCTGTAACCGTTTCATTCTGTATTTGTCTACTTCTTTGTCTCCTGTGTCGGGATCAAACAAGATCTATCACGCTCGTACTCCAGGTGATTGATGAAGGATCCCACCAATATGGGGGAGTGGCCCTGTTATAGGCTATAGAATATAGACTCGCTGACCACCAGGCAGCATAAGTTCCGGGATCTTCAAAATATAGGATCAACCTCTCTCCACGAAACAAAATTACGGAGGACTCCGGATATGGAGTTGAAAGCCGAACACTTAGATAGCCCAATTGGATAACTAAGATGGAATAAGGAACCTTCCCTTTGGGAATCACAAAGAATAGTACGTCTGGACGCTATGAAGGGGGAAAACCTCCAGCAGACATGGCCAGCTGGTTATTTTCTATGTGCAAGCATTTGTAAACTCAGTTACTCAAGTAAACTTTATAATTTGCATTGAAATAATTTTATTTAAAATTGTGCAAACTAGGTCCAGTCTCTAAATTTCGTAAGCTCCGAACTGTTTTTGTATGAGGGCAGCACTAAGCCATAATACCCCACTAGCAAGAGAAACCATTGACAGCTTCTCGCCCACTTGTTTGTCTAGCCTGGTCCAAGCGGTCGTTCCTGGAACTAAAAGGTAGGTGTGTGTTTTGGTGCTTGCCTGTTTGTGTTTGGTTAGAAACCACTGGTAAAGAATTTATTTACCTTTAAGAAGCTTGTGTATTAAACTCTCTTAGGTAAGCAGCTCTTCATCCTCATCATAGTGCACTCCTATTAACAAGTCTGAAGCTTGCTACCAGTCAGTTCAAAACCCTGTATCGTCCGGACTCCTGTCTAGTTTTACTTGTTGAGATACCGATGTTGGTCTTCTGGGTAGTAAAACCGCGTGGACTTGTGGGTAAATACAAATGTTTCGCAGGATCATATTGCCTCCATATTCAGGGAATATCGACAAATTTTCACTTGTTTTGTGTGGGTGCTCTCTCGCCTTGAGGGAGGAACATAAATTTAAGGATTCTGAGAATAAGAAGCTGAGCAGAATGTTTGAACCTAAAAGAAAAATAAGTAACAGGAGGACGGTAGATTAAATCAAGGGTCATAAAATCGGCGGGACATGTAGGAAAGGTTAATACAAAATTTTTATTCCAGAAACCTGATTTGAAGGCACAGTTTTGGAGGCGTAGATAAAAATAGGCAAATAATATTGAAACAGATCTTAGAAAAATGGAAGCGAAGATGTGGACTAGATTATTATATATAATCATCCTGTTGTGGATTTTAGTCCACAAGCTTCATTAACAGCCACTGCAGAAAAAATTGGTAAATTATGTTAGTAACTACACAAGATTAGACATATGCTGTTAGTCAATTTATTATAATATTCAATTACGACATGTTTTGACTACTGCAAAAATTTACACCTCAGTGACACACACACAATATGCCAGTCCGATATTTCAAATAATGTCAACAGTTACCATGAACCGTACATACGAGTAGTTAGCAGTACTCTGTACCTCGCTACTCACATACAGTACAAATACACAGTAATTCAGATGATTGAACTATTCACCAAAAGATTAGTATGTATATATAAATCTTGCAGAAACAATATACAAAGAGAATCCACTATAACATAATTTATTATATTTCAGGCATCTGCTTCTAAAAAATTATGCGCAGGACAGAAATGTATTTGTGTATTCTTGATATGAGTAAACACCGACATTGAATTACGAAGTGCTTTATGTCCATACAATTTTTACCTGAAACATTGCATTTTATGGTATGACTTTTAAGCCAATAATAGCATGTGTGGTACTTGTACATAAAGCAATAGACGAGATAAGAATTATGAATGTTTTTCAAATCCTTCTGAGTAACTAAAATAAATGAGCCTGTAGTAGAATAACGAGAAACAAATAAACGTCGGTTACAGTGGCCGCGAGGTCTGGGTCGTGGGTCTTGTGCGTTCGAATCCAGATCAGTTCATGGGCATTTGTCTGCGTATTTAGGTGTTGTGTTGTCCGGTGCTGATTACTCATCAAAGGAATCCTGCCAAATGTCTAAATAACTTAAGAAATATCCAGTATGCAAGGCGGCCAAAGTCCTTCAAGGACTTTAAGGCCATGGAGTAAGTACGCAAGTAAGTTGTGTAACGCTGAAGTATTTACTATGTTGTGCATAGACTTTTAATACAGCCAGGGTACTCGTCGGGCTGAAGGTAAGATTCAGTGACAGGTAATAAACCTTTGGGGTGCATAGACTGCTAGCTATATGGGGTCGCAGTTATATGTTCCTTTCTATTTCTTAAAATATTCACCTTACCAGGTCCAATTAAAGTTAGAGTACTTAATGAAATTCATATTTCTCCGTGGCATCCCAACGATTACTCCATTCACACACAGAAGAAGGCAATGGCAAACCACTTCTGGATCATCTGCCAAGAACGTATATGAACAGGTCCCAGTCCGAGAAAAGGATGGATGGATCCTGTTCATATGGACCTGTCGTCAGACAGAACACTAAATAATAATATATAATATAACATCCTTTATAGAGGGTAGCGTTTGTTTATTCATTTATGGTTTATTTAAGGGCGGAGTCAGTTGCTCAGAATGTGGAAGAAAGCGATCCTGGCTGAATTTAAGGTACTATCGCAGAAGTTTCCTGGAGATACCGAGGAAAACCACAGTAAACCTTAAAATAGCAGGTCCTCTGGGCAAGGTTTGAACTCGTAATCTCCCGAATACGAAGCAGGATTACCAACAACTCGGTTGTGAGAAAAATTGTGTTCTATTGGTCATTTGTGTGGACAGTCTGCAGTGCAATCTCCTGAATACCAAATTAACTCCAAATGCTGCCAGCAATTATAACACGCAGCCATAACTTCTCCTTAGCGATTTATCTTGTTTCGCTGTGTGTGGAGAACACAGACTGACTGCCTCTGTGAAGCCTTTAAGAAATTTACCTGGACGGGCCTCTTGATCGGGTTCCTTGGTTGAGTCAGCGGTGCTGGAGGAATCCAAGAGCGACGCCGACACAGCGACGAGGACAACCAGCCGTGTGAGAAAATGGCGGCTGTGAGCGTCGCGCACCATCTCCTGGAACATATGATCTGTGGGTCATACGGTGAACCTAGATACAGACTGAGGCACTTAGCTTACAGACCTCGGTTGCATGTAAATTATTCATTATTAAACGCGTGCTGTTTTTTCGTAATGCAAATAATCTTGCCTCAATGTAAAAGGAAACTTTCATGTGGCAGACAAATTATTAAAAAAGAATAATACATCCAAAGAAATAATGGAGAAAATAGGAAAGGAGTAAAGAAAGAGGGAAAAAAGGAGAAAGAAAGAAACGTAAAAAGAGGTATAAAAGTGGACTAAACGTCGATAAAAGTTAGTTATTATCTCAGTAGGATTATGGTTTATTTAACGACGCCTTTTAAATTGCATGCAGTATGTGTAATCGAATTATAGGTTAAATGTAATGATGAAATCGTGGTCTGCTTTAAAGCGTTATCCCAAAATTTATTCGGATTGACAGGAACAGTCAACAACAACATTAATCAGGGCAGCTAGTCTCGGACCATCTGACCATCTGTAAATGATGCAGAGTGATATAAATTTAACTGTGACGTCCATTTTACAGTGTCCCTTCGGAACTTTCCAGGTCCTCGATCCTTTCACCACGTACATTTGGAGGGGTAGTTTGATTTGAATTTCTTTTGTGGCAATGAACTTAGGTCGCTGTCGCATTTGTGCATGACACGACAATACAATGGTTATGTGCCTGCCCTCCCCCCGACCATCGCATTGTCTTACTGTTTATAAGGTGGGGGGGGGACCTTATATGGACTCTGTATTATAATTGGTTTTAAATACAGGGTATAAGGTTCTATGACGTGCTTGTGCTTGTCAAACAGAAATCTTGATTATAACAAAATGAAATACAAGTCGAATAATTTGTGAACAGCGCACACTAGTCACGACTACGCGTGACATGATTCCATTATTTTTTGCCTTCCTATTTGCCTACCTGGAACGCTTTTTATTTTATTTCATAATCTATATCTTTGTTGCTGTACTTCTTGTTCTGTGCTGCTGAGATTCAAAGGTCATTTGAGAGAGTCCAAAAAAGTAATCGGCATTGCAGTATTCTGCCATCTGTCAGCTGTTGTCCTGGACTGCACAGATAGTAGGTGCCGGGTCTCTTACAGCCATATTTGGCATCCCAAAATGTTAGCACTTAACTCTCGCTGTCGTTATTGTGTCCATTAAGATGGTCGCTTTGTCCTTTCTTACAGACAAAAGAAAGATATTAACAATGATAACCAAAGCAAGTCCGTGTGCCAGAAGTGGAAGGCAGGTCACGCGTTTGCTTAGACTAAATCGATGGGGCAGAGTCCCTGAGAAGCTGATATTCGCTTAGGTAGACAGGAGGAGTACATATAGTTCTGTGAACTTCTATTACTTATATATTTTCTTCTCTTTCTGTCATTCTTGGTTTGTTCATTTCCTTCTTCCTTCCGTTATTCCTTTCTCTCTCTTATTCCTCCTTCCCTCTTTCTTATTTACCTCTTTTCTATAGCTTTCTCCATCTCTCTCTTCATTTTCTTTTTATATTCTTCTTTCCTCTCTACTCCTTGCGTTTCTAAGTTTCATTTTACCTGTTTCCTCACTTTCTGCCTTGTATCTATATTTATCTCATTTCTTCTTAATATTTCTTTTGTTATTTCTGTACTTTTTACGTCCTTCCGTCTGTGAGCAACCAAAAGCCGTGGTAAATATTCCCGCCTCAGTGTACGTGCTTCTTTCAACTAAAAAGTAAACGCACGCTAATAACCGTGACGCCCTCATGGCACACTGTAGTCACTAGAAATCGAACATTATTGTTAAGCAATTATCGAGGTCAGCAAAGAGACAGTTCGGAAGAAGCGTAAAAAATCATTATAGCTACATGTCTTTATGGTTGCAGAAATATAATGAATGCCTTTCTAATTAACTTATATAGATGTGAATTCATTTATTCGTTTCTTTATTCCCTTGTAGTGTGACTTCTGAACACCAGAGAGTACGCTTAAAGTGCACGATTCTGTATTCAAATGCCTTTGGGTTAGCATATTTGTGATTTTTAGTATCGGGCATTTTTTGTACACATGAAATTAGAATTTGTATCTTTCCAAAACTTATGTTTCAATCGATTTATTAATTGTCATTAGGTCTACCAAATTAACTACCGTCTGCATCGCGGGGTAGCCATCTTCGTCAAAGCTGACCATAAACTTTACATTTCTAAACGTCTATTACCATATAAATGATCAATATCCCATAATCAATGGCTTAACATATAGGGGAGACCAGGGCAGAACGGGGAACGTAATCTTTGGAGGCATGTGGAAGGGACAATAATAGAGATAAACACATGGAGGAACTTTGAGTGGATTTATTGTCTATTTGAGATTTATAATGATTTATTGGTTTAGTTCTAAGAGTTTTCTTTACAAGAACGTAACTTGCCCCATTTTGCCGAGTACGGGGGGAAAGACGGAGTATGTTTGATATATGTTTGAAAAGTTGCAAGAAGACACAGATTATCTAATAATTATGACGTAAAAGTAAAGTAAAGATTGTCCCACTATACGCCATGTAGGCGTTTGGGGTAAGTGGAGGTATAGCTCCTCTCTTCCTTGACCTCGGCACTAGACAGGGGTGAGTGGTCAGCATCACGCCCCGCCATCTTTACCCCCGGGAAAGGACCCCGGTACCCATTGTAGAGGAGGCTGGGTGGGCCCCAGAGCCGGTCTGGACGCAGAGGCTAGAGGAAAAATCCTCTGCCCCCGTCGGGGATCGAACCCCGGTCGTCGAGCCCGTAGCTAGTCACTATACTGACTGAGCCATCCCGGCTCATAATAATTATGACGTAGGATATAAAAATAATTTAGTATACAATGTAAAATGTCGAAACTTTACACATTTGAAATCTACTGATTCCTAACGCAGACGGCACACATGCGCACCTGTTCATCATCGTAACTACCAACACCTGCACATGATTTTTGGGCCCATTTCAAGCAAGACGTATACCGGATCCACCCTTCAATAGACTGCGAACAGACATCGCCACATTACAGACACTTGTCATTTTATCCTCTTCTCTGGGTACCCCGTTCTGCCTACCCCATCCTGCCCCGAGTATACTCTTTCAAATTAGGATTGCCCCACCAAAAATGACACCATGAAAATAAATAAAAATATTGTGTTTAAGACTTTCAAGAAAACCCCTTGTAACATGCATCATTCAACAAAGTGGATATGAATAATGATAGGTCTTACCTTCACTGTAAGTTGAGAAAACATTTTAAAATGTAGGAGCAAAATCCAACATGGGTGATTATTTCAGAAATCGTAATCACAAAATGGCGCTGACTGACATGACATGACCCTGTGCTGTATGCTAATGGCATTTCATCCGGTCCTGATAGATCGCAACGCATTGCAGACGAAATAAAGCCGATACCCTGTTCTGCCCCGTGGCCCCGTTTTGCCCTGGTCTTTCCTATTACACAGTCTAAAGTTTGTGAAACTTTATTCCTGCACACAAGGGGGCGATTTCAGTGCAAGCGAAGAGCTCGGAAATGATATTTCAGGTTCTCACGACGGCGTGTATGAAGATGGCTGTCTTCTGGGATGTTGCGCCATGTAGTGCGGTAGAAGTTTATCATCGTTTTAGAGGCTGTTACGGTCCTCATTGTCGGTTTATTAACTTCTACCAGACTACACGGCACAACAAGCCAGAAGACAGCAATCTTCGTACTAGCGGCCTTGAGAACCTCAAATCTCACTTTGACTTGTACGGCATAAATATACTGTTCTAACAAGCTGTGTGCTCTGTTATTGCAGACTGTATGTTCCTTAAGACGTACATTTAAAGGAACACGAAAGAAACGTATTTAAGCCAATGCTCTTTGGTATCCGTATGATTTTTTACAATAAAGTGACTATCGAAAACGATGGGGTGCGAAAATCACACGTCCGGCCTTGCTGAATAGGTTCCCCTCCAAGCTTCCCTGAGACAGAGTCATATGAAAATTGCATCTTACCTTCTTGTTAGCCGTATATGTACGTCTTCTCTCACTTCTTCATTGTAGACATTAACATCGCAGAGTAGCTAATGACGTCACGCCAGTAATGGAAGTTTTACTCATTGACGTTCTGTTTGTGTGGATTCATTTCGTGAGTTTAATATTGTGTCCCGTAGAACTGTTATCCGTCTTCCACCTGCTTTATATTCATGAGAGATGGCTCTAAGTAATGGATGTTTGCCATCTATAGTTAAATTTATTCTCTACCTAAGAGTAAACTATGGTCTAGGTGTGTTAGTGACACGGGCGTCTTAGTTTCTACCATCCACAAGCCCGTGCTTCAGTAACACTGACAGTCTCTTGTTTCTGCGGTTTAATTTAGCGTTCCAATGTAGGCTGTAAGCATAGTGCTGTCAGCAAGTAGCCGATATGCATGACACAGGCCGACATCGTTTTCATTTGCCTGTCTTCATAATATTTCCTTCTTCATTTTTATTCCTGTTTATTACCTTCGTCATTTCAGTCTTCATCATTCTTCTTGTCACCCTCTTCCTTCATTGTAATCTTTATTTTTTCGTCGATATCTTTTCCCTCCCAACATAATCATCTTTCCCACCTTTATTAGTCCTTCACCATCATCTTACGCTTTCCTCCTCAATTTTAATTTATGTCTCCTTGTTTTACTTCTCACAGCCATCCTTCTTATTCTCGCGTTTATTCTGCTCTTGTTTTCATCTTCTGCTTCTTCAACTTGCGGTGCAGTTTTAAGGGAGCAGAGATTACTAGAAAGAATTCTTACCCCGTACAAACACCTGTGCCTGCGTGATTGGTGTGACGTGACGAGAAACAAATACTGCTTGGGATTTCAGATTCTCACGGCAACAAATACAAAGATGGCTGTCTTCTGGGATGTTGCGCTTTGTAGACTGCTATAAACTTGCCGACGATTTAGAGCTGCTTGCTGCCCTGATGATAAAGGCACCAACCATCTCTGAAATGTCAGTAAACTTCTACCAT